TCCAGCCCCGTGTCAAGTCAGCAGCCTCCCACTGCACTTGCTGCGGTATGGCAATGTCTTTCACTTAGTGAGAAGCCCAAAACTGGGCACAGCACTCCAGACACAGTCCCACAAGCCCCAGACAGGGAGCAGTAATTGCTTGCTGAATACGCTTGTTAACACAGCCCAAGAAGTGGTTGGTGATCTTTGCTGCATGGATACACTGCTTCAAGAAAAAATAGGTGTGTAGATAACTAACTATGAAGGAAAAATCGTAGACTCATAGAACAGTGTGGGTTGGAAGGGACCTTTAAAGGTCACCTAGTCCAACCCCCCTGCAGTGAGCAGGGACACCTTTAGCTGGATCAGGTTGCTCAGAGCCCCGTCCAACCTGATCTTGAACATTTGCAGCGATGGGGCTTCTACCACCTCTCTGGGCAACCCGTTCCAGTGTTTCACCACCCTCATTGTAAAAATTTTCTTCCTTCTATCTAGTCTAAATCTGCCCTCCTTTAGTTTAAAACCATTACTCCTTGTCCTGTCATAACAAGCCCTGCTAAAAAGATTGTCCCTGTCTTTCTTATAGGCCCCCTTTAAGCACTGAAAGGCTACAGAGTATAGTTGAAAAAGGGTATAGTTGAAAAACAGGATGTGGACCTCTAGGCCAGTTGGTCATTGATTTGAATCTAGTTGAATGTTGTCAAATCTGGTTAGAGGCAACTTCTGTTGGATGGCCGTTTAGTACCATACATGAAACTAGCAGTTGGTTTTGAGATTCACCACCGTCACCATTTCATTACTCTTCGTGTATTTGTAACAAATCAGTAGAATCGAAAAGCTGTGTAGACCCTATCGAGGTTGTTAATCCAAATTCAGAATATCCCTTATGAATGTGCCTAAATACTTAATAAAAAGCACCAAACATTAATGCTACAAAGTAGGAGCAGGAATATGAATTCACTACAATTTTATATATGCTATGACCTAAACAACACAGGTTTTCTTTTTATTTTTCACTTATGCTTTTCTGCAGGAAATAATTTCTTAGTTATCATCTGTAAGCATCCTCCTGTTCCCACATGTAGGGCCGGAACCATGAATGAACTATATATGGTTACATGGCCATTGCTCCAAACCTACCTCTATTTTGTCCAGTAGCTTTTAACGTGAGAGATGGAAGCAGTCCTGAGCCCAAGGTCATGAAACCAGATCCCCCTTTTCATAGAAAGCGGCTGCTGTTCTGGGTTTTTGTTCTGTTCTTGGCCCAGCAAACCTCAGAGGGTTGAGTGGAAAATGCCCCAACTCCAACTATTTGGTGCTTGTGGTTGTCTCCTGAAGAGTAGGAAATAGAAGCTTGAAACAAGGTGCTGGTATAAAACTCTCCTTTCAGTGGGCAATCTCTTTTTCAAGGGGCAATCTGCAAGGAACAATCAATGTCTTTTACCACTTATTTGCAGGACATGCCTAGAGCATAGGGAGATAGTGGAAAGCAACCTTGAAGTTGGGAGGGCTCAGAAAGCGCCCCTTTCTCCTCCTCTTGGTTTGCTGATATAAGATGACTGAAGAGAAGGAAATGACGAGAAGGGAAGGAGGAAGCTGGAGAAATAGAGCCCAGTCTCTCACTCAGCAGTTTGACTGTCTGTGTGTATTCAGAGCATTCCCTCCTTCTAGACAAATACTAGGGAATTAAAAGAAATGAAAATAAATTCATGGCGGGTCAAATGGATGAGTCTGGGCTTAGTGCCGATAGAGCAGGCTGAATGGGAGCAGGAATCTTGAGGTGCTCTGTTCTCAGTGCTCAGCCAGGCATCGCTTTCCCAGACTGTGAAGACAATGATGTTGCTGTTGCTTTTCCTTAGATTCATAGAACAACCTTCAGCCATAAAATTTGGGGGTCTGAGCTTCATGTGTACCAGGCAAAACTGTCAAGCTTGGTCAATATCTGAATATATTGAGGAAGACAGAAGGTGCTGAAGGAAAACAGTGCTGGTATGTTGAGGGAGGGCATCACTTCTCATCTTAGTCTCAACTTGGCTGTGCTATTGCAAGACTATTCTTTAAGCTGAATTTAAATAACCAAAACCCAGTCGGTGATTTTTTCAGATTCTTTAGAATGAAGTAGGGCTCTAGTGCCAATGGTCTGAACAAAAGCTTAAAAGTTAAAATGCAATATTCCAGCGTATCTAGCAGTTCAACTGGAGAAAAGTGTGTTGAATCAATCTGTGTTTTGACTTATATTCAGTTTTAATTATTGAATGCCACTGTGGAGAAGGTTGTGTTTTAAAGATGGATGAAATTGTTCCTAGAAGTGGAAATACGTTTGATGCACAAAATGATGCCGTATAAGTAGAGACTAAAAGAGCAGATTCCTTTATTTAGAAGAAATTAATGAAGGAGCTTAATTAAAGTTTATAAGTAACAAATAAAAGCAGTTCATTTTGCTTTTCTGTTTACTTGCCTGCAAAATTAGCTGCTCCCATCCAAATGAAATTTAAAAATAATACATCTAAACTGGATACATTGATTTTTTTTTTCTATGTACTTAGTTTGTGAAGTTCATTACATAAAATCATTGAAGCTCAAAAATTGAGAAAGTGTGAAAGTGTAACTAATACAACTAACAGTACAGCTAAAGTCTTAAATTGGGGTTTTCAGCGTATAGCAGGGCTACTGAAGCCTGGTTCCCGGTGGAGTTATATCCTGTATTTCTTTAATAGCTATCCCACTACAGGAAGCCAAATTTTTACTCTTTATTGTTTTTTTTCTCCTTTTACAACCCCAGCTGAGGTAGAGGTAGCATACAGTCAGGTTAATCCAGACTGGTTTGCCTCAGTGTATGCTTATTTGAGTTGATCAGCTGATTCTGCAAATGGAACATAAAACAGGTAAGTGTTTAAGAACTATAAATTGTTCATTATATAGGATGTTCTCTAACTGAAAAGCTGAGGAAGGAGCCTGCCATGTAAGGAGGTATTTTTTATTTTGAGGTTCCTTGAACTTTGTTTGGAAACATTCAATAGCAGATTAGTCTGATTTTTGTATCGTAATTCCTCTGCGTATAGTTTGACACCAGCTTTGCAATTGTTTTGTCTTCAAGGGACTATATGTGTCTAAGGGCTTACACAAGACAAGCGTGTAAATGGATTGTGTCCTTGCATTAGAATTCTCTCCCTTTCTAGATTTTGGTGTTATGAGTAAGTCATTGTACATGTATGCAATCATATATGCTTAAGCTAAACTCATCTGCTCTTTGACCAGTCTGAAGACATTTTAGGAGCTATTTTCTGTCCTGTTTACATCTCAGTGTATACTTACATGAGTATGCTAAACCTTTTTTAATGAGCTTTAGCAAATCAGCAGAGTTTGCTTCAAGATGTGTGGGTTCTCCTACTATCTCCACAAAGTTGTGCCTCAAGGAAGGAAGGGGGAAGAAACACCTTTTCACGCCGCTAGGGTACCTCATCTCACCTGCCCCCACCTTTGCTGTAGAGCTGTTGTTATATGGCCGATTCCCATTCGTTAGAAGACATGTTGATTTAGCTGTGCAATGCATTTGTGCCTCAGGGCAAGTTCCTTTCCAGTGCACAGTGCTGGAAGATTCTAACTGAAGTGGAGAATAAAATTTATATGAACTGGGACTTGAACACTCAAATGCTGTAATATGGTTTCAGCTAATATCATCTTTAAATGCAGATAATGAATCTGCTTCAGTTTGTATTCAGATAAGAAATGTCATTCATTCTGTATGAATGCAAGTATCTATATAAAATGGGCGACTTTTACAATTTGGTCATAGCTTCATTTTTACGTGATTTAAACTAGATAGATAAGGTTATACTGATGTATTTGTAAATTAATTGGGTCATTAGGCTGTGTATTGGAGGAAAACATAATTTATAAACCCCTGTATAATTAGTTACCGTAGATACCTGTGTTCAAGAAAAGTCCTTTTTTGAAAAGCCAATACAGTGATGTAAGCCAGCTATGAAAGCCAGGTGGGGCACATTAAAGGTCATGAAATGCTGTCATGCTTTTGGGATAATCAAACCCCAAAGATCCATCTGGCCTTGGTTCCCAGGCTCTGGCATGAGGCATCAGGCTGGAGTTGGTCTGGGGACACCTGTATTGCACGGTGGAAAATGTAACAGTGTTTCATGACATTGTCGTGATACTGTTCAGGAAAAAATAATAATTAAAAATAAAAAGGCCCTTAAGTGTGATGACTATTTAAAGCTTCAGCTAAGCTGAGGAACTGGAAAAAAACAACGTTTTGTTTGTCATTTTTGTTTGTGTTATTTCATAGGAAATTTAACCTGTCATTTACCCAAGTTTTTTAGGTGTCAAACCTTCCCAGCAGCTTGCCATGGAATGTCCGTTATTCCAGGAAAATATTTTCTCATATGGTGTATCACCAAACCGTTGTCAAATTCCCTAGCCTTACTGAAAAGACTGAGTTTGCATGGATATAGCTCAGTACGATGAAGGTTAACACATCCCCTTTTACTGACAAAATTTGCTTTTGTCCACTGTAACAAGTGTAATCATGGGGTGTATAAATAGAAACCTGTATTACAAAAGACAGGCACAGGATGACACATGTTGAACTCCTGTTTCCAAAAATGGGATAGAATGGGTGTTCATAAAATCCAGTTTTTGACTGCAGAAAATGAGGGTGTGAGCGAGCGGCTGGTCTGCCAGTTCTGCACAAAAGCTCAGTGGCTTAGGTATGAAATGCCCAGATATATAAATTTTATTTTTTTTTTTTTAATTAAGTGTGCCCTCTGGAGAACCCGCAGCTTTCAGGTGTTGAAGTAATGGATGCTGTAGTTTAAATTACCCACAATTTTGCTGCAGTGGGGAGCCAAAACAGAGCAGCTGAGAGTAGTTAAGAGCTTTGTCTGACGGCTTCGGTTCTTGCCTTTGCCTCGGGAAGGGGCGGTGGAAGCCCTGTGCTCTCAGAGGTAATTGTGCGCGCCAGCACTGCCGAAACCCACCCCGTTGTGCCTGTGTTTTCCCGACAGCTGCAGGAAGCGATCAAGGGCGGCAAAGGTGTGACTTCTGCCATCGACCTCTGCCGCTGCCACGGAAACAGAGCACTAGCAGCCCTGGAGCGCTTCCCTCCCTCCGAGGCCAGAGCCGCCTTGGCCAACATTGTCTACGCTGTGACCAGGTTTCCCTGACCCTCCGCCCCGGGAGGAGCCGCTCTCCCTCTGCGGGCCGGAGCGACCCAGTGGGGACGCCGACACGACGCCCTGCACCGCTGGTCACCTCATCGTCCCGACGGAGGAACACGCGCCGGCCGCCGCCACCGCCACCACCAACAAAATTCGGGAGGGGGAAGAAAAAAAGGTCACAGCCAGCTTTCACTTGTCGTGCCAGAAGCGCACTTGAGGCTGCTCCGGTAGAAATAATTAATGAGTCCCGTTTCCGTGACCTCAGCAAATGGACAGGAAATAAGTCGGTATTGATTGGGCACCGGCGGGGACGGCGCCAGGGCGGAGGCCGGTGGTTTTCCTGCCCAAGGGAGGGATGGAGGGGCGTGAAGCTCCAGGTGTCACAAGAAACCTGCTCAAACCTGCCCAGAGCGAGCGAGCTGCCGAAGCCAGGAATTAACGTACCTGCTTATCAAGGGGAAGGGCAGTTTGAGGGATTAGTGGGGGAAAATCCTCTCTCTTGTCTGCGTGCAGTCATGTCTCCTCACACTGTTTTTATGTATTCAAATGTAAAATTACCCTGTGCCTAATGCTTTCCGTATTTGAGAAACTTGCTGAGAAAATGTGTCAAGCATGGTAAGTAGGAGCTTTAAAATATTTAATCAGATATTAATGTGGCTCTGTTAAGGGAACTGATTGCCTGGGATTTATACTGTGCGTATATAATATGTTGCTCTGGGTCAAAGAATGAGGTTTTTCCAGTGCTTCTGGGGGAGGGAATATCCCTCCCACAGGTCCAGCAGTTTGTTTCAACATGGTCTTACACAAAAGAATCTCCTAGGTTTGTGACACTTGCATTCATTTAAGCCAAATAAATGTTAATTTGTAAGGCTAGACATCGGCCTTTGGCAGAAAGGAAGAAGGAGTGCTCTTCTGTGAGTACAGTCTTTCATGCCGCTGAATAAAATACAGAAAATACTGGAGAAGTTTTGAACCTCAGTGTGTTGAATTTTAAAGTCCAATTACAGACAGCATATAAGGTGTATCAGAAGCCTGCAATTTGAGACCGTCTCTGTTTTGTTCATAGGAGATGATTTTTGTGGTTTGCATGCATGCAATTTGAGAACACCGTTGACAAGAAGGCTGAGTTTACATAAATGATCTAGATTGAGACTCAGCTACCTTTCTTCCTTCTGTGGTGTAATTACAGCCCAATCTGGAGACAGCTAGCACAGCAAACAGATTTCATTACATCCCTCACTCAAACACTAAGTGGAGTTATTTCTGTTAAATTCTGTCCTCCCTCCTTCTCCCCCTGCACTCCTTCCCCGTCACACAGCTTGTTTGTCATAGACCAGCGTGTTGCATTCCACCAAATGCAAAATATAAATAAAAACTCTGTCCTCTAAAAATATACTGAAAATACATCCTGCATAATGTACATAATACTCTGTGTAATATATGACTATATTACACCATATATTGTATGTATGATAAGCAAACTTGAGACACAATCTTTGTCTAGGAGCAGCATCCAGAACTCAGGACTCGCTTGATTCTGGAACAACTTCAACACCAGACCCCTTCTTGCTTGCCCTTCCCTTCTCACGCCTGTCCTGGCATTTTCTCTCTTCCCAAGACTTGGGTACTTCTGCCTGAGTTAGTGCTGTTGCTGCAGCAGGAAGGCTGGAGACAGAAGAGGGGCACTGAGGTGTGGATTAGCTCAAGCAGTGGCAGTCGCAGGCACCTGCCTTAGCTAACCACTGTGCATTTTCACCTGTGAAGTTCCCTGAAGTTCTGCTAATGTAAAACACGTGCTTGAAAGAAATGCCTAAGTTCAACCACATTTCAGCTTTTTTTGGCTCTGTCTTTTACATATTACATATAGTAGGAGCCATGCATCATCTTTTTGTCTTACATCTACACTAATTGGTTCATAATGATTTAGGGCTGCAGGAAGCTTGGGTCTGCTGGAGATACTCTGAGTCACCTCACCTCAGTTGTGTGAAAGGAGGTCGAAGATGCTGCAAAACTGTGTACACCTGGTTTATTTTTTCATGGAAGTAAATTTTTTTTATTTGTACATTTTACTAATAAAGGGAAATCAGCAAAAATTAATGACCTTTTTCTGTATTTTTATCACCAGAATGTTATGATTGCTCTTAAACTATTCTTCAACCTTAATTTAAAAAAATCAACGTGAATTGTCCCTTATCAATATTATCAAGTAATCTTACATTGAAGATATTTGCCTGCAATTGTTGAGAAATTTTTGTTGTCTTGTTTCCTCCAGGTAAACTACAAGCAAAGTATTGTACCCCTCTGTCAACCTTGGTGAATTAGTCGTTGCTGTGTATTAATACACTCTCCACACCTTACACAATTTCTGAGCAGTGGTGGAACCTTAGGGCTGTTCTGGTTTTATTTTTATCTCATCGATTCCCTTCCCCCACCTACCTCTATAAAGAGGTCAGGGAGAGGGAGGCCTGTGGTCTAGGGGGCGACTGAGGAAGGCATTCACACCATTCACTGCAGTTATGCAGCTACTCGACCAGATGTATCTGTCAGCTGCTCCTCTGAAATTACCCCAGGTATTGTATTGCTGGACCGTTCCACAGGTGCACAAAATACAGGACAAGGTCCCATCTGCTTTTTAAACCAAACTAAATTCACCTCCTATAAAGAGCACTAGAATGGCTGTTTCATAGGTCTGGGATGGAAAGTCATTTAACTGCCAGCCAGGTATTTCCAGCTCCACAATTGTGATGATGCTGTATAGGAAGGTTGTTTGTAAAATGAGGTACTTAGAGGAATAGAAGTGTTGGCTGGAGGGGACTGCTGAAAGTCATATAGTCAAATCTCCCATTTGACATGGACTGTTGGCTACATGGAGTCTGGTTTTGGAAACCACCAGGGATGGAGCTTCCGCAGGTTCCCCACACAACCTGTCCCAGTGCTTCCCTGCCTTCCTTGTGAAGGAGTTTTCCTGATGTCCAGCATGAACCTCTCTCACCTTAGCTGGTGGCCATTGCCCATTATTTGTCACCTGCCCTTCCCAAGAACTGTTTGTCTCTGGTGTCTTTGTAATTCCCTGTCCTGCAGCTGTGCGATACAGTTCGATTGCCTGTTAGCCTCCTTTTACGGGCCAGAGCAGCCCCAGCTCTGTCAGCCTCTCCTGGTGGCCACGTGTGCTAGGCCATGACTAATGGGGTAGCCCTCCAGTGACCTGCATGACTTTTGTATCACCCCTGTAGGGCTGTGAGCCCAAACTAGACCAGTTCAGGAGCAGACTCACTGAGTACGGTAAGGAGGAGAACAAAAATTTGCCTTGATGTACTGGGTCTTGCTGTGATGGAGTTAATTTTCTTCATAGCGTCCCATATGGTGCTGTGTTTTGGATTTGTGACCAAAACAGTGTTGCTACCACACTGACGTTTTAGCTATTGCTCAACAGTGCTTGTGTAGCTCCAAGGCACTCTCTGCTCCTCAGTCTGACACCCAGTGAGTGAGTTGGTGGTGGGTAAGGGGCTGGGAGGGGGCACAACAGGGACAGCTGACCTGAACTGACCGCAGAGATATTCCGCACCATATAACATCATGCTCAGCAATAAAAATGGGATGGGGTGGGGGGTTGTTCCAGGGGGTCTGTTGCTTGGGGACTGCCTGGGCATCAGTCTGCTGATGGTGATTGCTTTTGCATCACTTACTTTACTTTGGTTTGGTTTGGTTTCGGTTTTTTCCCTTTTACATATTCAACCGTCTTTAAGCCACGAATTTTCTCGCTGTTGCGCTTCTGATTCTCTCCCCCGTCCCACTGTGAGGGGCAGTGAGTGCGTAGCTGTGAGGTGCTCAGGTGCCATGCAAGGCAAGCCCACCACAGTCCTTTTTGGCACCTGTTGTGGGACGTGGAGGGTTCAAGATAACGAGACATTTGACCAGAGTGTGCTAGAGGGAACTTACTCTAGCTGTCTAGCTGTTGCTGGTTGTGATGTTGACTTACTTGTTCTCAATGCAGGTTTATTTGCTCCCCTACCCGCCCCATGTCATGCTCCCTCTCGTGCTGTACATCAGATTTGAGAGTTTGTAAAAGGCTGGGTTTGGCTTTTGCTGTGCCATGTAGCACTCAGTTGTGTTTTGCCCGGGAGAACTATGATGAAAGCACTGGCCCTGAGCCTAATCTGTTATTTGGGCCCTGCGTTGCTGCTCTCCCAGTACTTCGGGAACCATCTCGTGGAGACAATTAACAATTACACCTTTTCCCTCTTTTCCTCTGAGAGCCAATTTGTGGAGGAAACAATGGCACCTTCCCTTTCATCTCCTGCAAGGTAGCTGCCTTCCACCTTGTTACAATGACAATTTAGTATTTTGAACATCCCTCGGTAATCAGAATGCTCCCATTGGTGTGTCTCAAGAATCTGTTTCCAGCTTTTCCTAAGGTTAACTGACTATTTAGGAACATCACACAGGGATATGCCCTGAGAAAGTGTGGTTGTGTGTGGCAAGGAGCGTGGGAGAATAAAGGCAGGTATCTAGAACATTTTTCACCTCCGATGGTGTGGGACTTGACCCGCTAAGTGCTAAGGATCCTGATAAAGTGAGAGAAGAATGTCCTTAAATTGAGAAAAGAATGCCCTGGCTATGCTAAAGGGACGCAGCTCCTCGCACTGTGCTGGGCCTGGCCTATGCCTACCGAGCACTGTTCAGCACCCTCAGGGGGGAGAGAGGGTCCTGGATCTGAAGACAGTACAGATGGGCACTGTGGCTAAGCCAGAGACACAACTCTGAACTGTTGCCCCTATAGTCAAGAAGAAACAATGGAACCAGAAGTCATCTCAGTCAGGGAGGAAGAAGCTTCTAAGAGGGAGCAGGAGGAGGAATCAGAGGGGCAGCCAGTTGTGCAGCAGAGCAGTCACAAGAACAGGAGGGGAAAGAGACAGAAATCATAAGCGAGCCAGAAACCACCAGCTCCTTATCCCTGAGTAAGCTGCAAGATATGCACATGGATTATAGCTATCAACCTGGTGAGC